CCCAGTCATGTACCTTAGCCACTAGGCTATAGGCTGCCCCCATAGTTATGAAAATAAAAAGATGATTTCATTAATGTGCCCTTGTGCATCTGCAGTACACCTGCCTAGTGAGAAGGTGAGTGTTCTGACTGAGGAGGGGGATGTACTATAACACGTAACCCCATACAGTATGTATTAATGGTAATTAGGCTAATAGGTGAGTATACTGTAACTCCAAAGCCCATATGTATTAATGGTAATAAGGCTAATAGGTGGGTATACTGTCTGAGGAGGTGGGCATACTGTAACTCCAAAGCCCATATGTATTAATGGTAATAAGGCTAATAGGTGAGTATACTGTCTGAGGAGGTGGGCATACTGTAACTCCAAAGCCCATATGTATTAATGGTGATAAGGCTAATAGGTGGGCATACTGTAACTCCAAAGCCCATATGTATTAATGGTAATAAGGCTAATAGGTGGGTATACTGTCTGAGGAGGTGGGCATACTGTAACTCCAAAGCCCACATGTATTCATGCTAATAAGGCGAATAGGTGGGTATACTGTCTGAGGAGGTGGGCATACTGTAACTCCAAAGCCCATATGTATTAATGGTAATAAGCCTAATAGGTGAGTATACTGTCTGAGGAGGTGGGCATACTGTAACTCCAAAGCCCATATGTATTAATGGTAATAAGGCTAATAGGTGAGTATACTGTCTGAGGAGGTGGGCATACTGTAACTCCAAAGCCCATATGTATTAATGGTAATAAGGCTAATAGGTGGGTATACTGTCTGAGGAGGTGGGCATACTGTAACCCCAAAGCCCATATGTATTAATGGTAATAAGGTGAATAGGTGGGTATACTGTCTGAGGAGGTGGGCATACTGTAACTCCAAAGCCCATATGTATTAATGGTAATAAGGCTAATAGGTGAGTATACTGTCTGAGGAGGTGGGCATACTGTAACTCCAAAGCCCATATGTATTAATGGTAATAAGGCTAATAGGTGGGTATACTGTCTGAGGAGGTGGGCATACTGTAACTCCAAAGCCCATATGTATTAATGGTAATAAGGCGAATAGGTGGGTATACTGTCTGAGGAGGTGCGCATACTGTAACTCCAAAGCCCATATGTATTAATGGTAATAAGGCTAATAGGTGGGTATACTGTCTGAGGAGGTGGGCATACTGTAACTCCAAAGCCCATATATATTCATGCTAATAAGGCGAATAGGTGGGTATACTCTCCCTCACAGTAAGGAAAGTTGGGTGTTTTTTTCCTAACTGTGTGTCTGTTTATTTGCTCTGGAATAGTTGTTTCTCTGGACTCTAAAAATAAAAAGGCTCCACTCGGACTCAGCCGGCAGATTGAGGAGTGAGTTTTTTTTTCCTGGGGTGTCAAGGTCAGGGTCCAATCACTAGCCCCCCCCCATCCCCCCCCATCCCCCCCCATCCCCTACCCCCGCCAAGGCCTCAGCCCTCCCCAGCACAGCCTCCCTTCACCACACACCTTGTGCTGAGGGATGGAGTGGGAGGGAGAGATGGAGAGAGGGAGTCATAGATGGAAAGAGAGAGGGGGAAACTGGAAGAAAAAAGAGAGCGAGAGACAGGAAAACAGGGGAAAGGGTGAGCTGGCAGAGGGAGGACAGAATTATCCTTTCTGCAGTGTTAATGAATGACTGTGAGGGAGGCGTAATAGAAACCATAGTGACAAATTCAGCTGCCTGCTTCACATTTACTCACTCACTCACTCACTCACTTTTTCTTATTGTCTCATTCTCTTCCTCTCTCTTTCACACTCCTCCTCGCTCTCACTCTCTCTTCCCCTTTCTCACACTCACTATTTTTCTCTATTTCAGTTGTTCTGTCCGTCTCTCTCACTCTCTCTCATGCTGTTGTTTATCCCCTTTTTTTCTCCCTCTCTTCATCTCTCTCAGATCAGTTTTAATTTGAATGTCTGATCGGCCTGACATCACCCTGCATTATGTTGTGAATAACAACACAGAACAACAACAGATAAAAACAATGACTATATATGGCAAAACAGGCTGCTAATCTCTAAAAGAGAAGCCCATTACATGGAAGGTTTATACTGTATTTATATAAACCTGGAAATTACCACACTTCTGTTTCTCAATAGCAAATTGTTACTCATGAAGCAAATTTTGAGGTTGTGTCCTGTCCCCAGTACAACACAGTAAAGTTTGGAGTCATTGCTAGCCAGAGGTATTCACCCCCTTGTCCTGGGGGGTGTCATAGGCTATTAGCTCCAGCCACCCTCTGCACCACCTGATTATGCTAATGGGCACACCTGGTCGACCAAGCAGGTAAATGAATTAGCAACATGAGGAGCTGTAATGTGTGTGGCTGGAGCTAATAGCTGTTGACACCGCGGCCCTCCAGGACAGGTTGTGAATAGCCCTGGTGTGAACAGCGCGTTCTCCTTCTTCAGTTGGGTGATGGAAAAACACAGTCCATTTGTAAGACATTTTACACCCTCTGGCCCTGGCACCTGAAACATGGAGGAATCTCACAGACTCATGGGAAATCTGGTAGGTCACTGCTGAAATATGTGGCCGGGAGCTGTGAAAGGCAGCGGCCATTTTAAGTTTAAGGACAACCATAACCTGTGTCTCAGGACAGAGGCGGCTTCCGCGTGCGGCTTTGGGTTCTCGGCTCTGGTGAAAAAGGCTTGTAATTGAAGTGTTTTTCAATTTTCCAACAAAATAATACCAATAACGACTCCTCTTCAGATTGCTATTGTGGCTGTGCAATGCATTACTGACTCTTAAAATAATGCTTTCTCACACTTAGCAGAGCACCAGCTAAATGTCTGCAATGCGATGGAGATGTAATATATGGATACAGGTCAAGGTCAGTCCCTGCGAAGCTGGGTAGTGAAAATCACTCCAGGCCTAGGGCTTCGCTGAAGACGTGTTTACAGCCCTGAAAGGAGAAGCGTAGGTGGCCGTAGGTACCGGAGCCTGTACTTGACCTCTGCTTTCAGCTGCCGGGTCTTAACATCGCCGATTGCAGTTCTTTACATGCCAAACGCTGGGCTGTACTCTGGAAAGATGAGTAGCCTCCTCCCATTGAGAGAGAAGAGTCTCCTCCATGGGGCCCTGGGGTGTAGCATCATGGGGAAAAAAGGGTACTAGGTATACAGGCACCAAGGGTTTGAAGGGGCCCACGAAATCTGAGAATTTTTTTTTAGAAAGAGTGGCAGGGCACTCGGAGTCTGCATGTGTAAAAGACCCAGAATTTCTAGCTATGCCCCTGGAGGGGCCCCATTGAGAGAGAGGAGCCTCCTCTGTGGGGCCCCATTGAGAGAGATTAGCCTCCTCTGTGGGGCCACATTGAGAGAGATTAGCCTCCTCTGTGGGGCCCCATTGAGAGAGATTAGCCTCCTCTGTGGGGCCCCATTGAGAGAGGAGCCTCCTCTGTGGGGCCCCATTGAGAGAGATTAGCCTCCTCTATGGGGCCCCATTGAGAGAGATTAGCCTCCTCTGTGGGGCCCCATTGAGAGAGAGGAGCCCCGGGTGTAATATCTGTCCCTTCTCTGGATAGTGATGTACTCACCACCCCCCCCCCCCCACACACACACTCACACACAGCTGTGGCAGGGCCAGGGGGCCTTCTCGCTGCGGCATTAATTTGATCAGTAGGGCCAGCTAAAGACAGGGCTAAACCAGTACAGATCATGAGACTCATTGACTGATGGAGGCTATTCCTGGCTGAGCAGATCCTGGGTACCTGTAAGGACATTGGCTGATGACATTCTGACTTCCTGTAACTCTGATTGCTTATATGTAAAATGCATGCAGTACGTTATCAGTGTTAGGTCTCATCCCCAATCTCATCTTGCCCAGCTAAACAAGCGGTGTCCCTCCCTCCTCCGGTCTCAAGGCACACAAGCACAGGCCCCAGTCTATGTCTATATCTCGTCTTGTCTATGCCGTGAAAAGGTTACGGTCGCTGCATGTGAATTCTGTCGATGTGCCTTTCTCTGCCCCCTCGGCTGCCTCTGTAATGCACAGGGTGTTCCCTTTGCGACAGGTTAGCAGTCTGTTTTGGCCTGCAGTCTCATGTTGGTAGACTCCACACAGATTGCATTCAGGTGGGAGGCAAAGACATCCCTTCCTCCGCACGAATTTATCTTTTCGGTGGATTCTGACAGAGCCGATTTAAGAGGGGGCAGTGCCTGGCTGGCTTTCATCTCTGAGAACAGACACTTCACACGGAACTGTGTCTTCGGCCATCTCTTTGAACTCTGCTAGCACATTAGCGCTGCAGCCTTTGAGCTCCACTCACTTTTTCTTTCAATGATTTAGGAGGCTTAACCAATCTTGTCCAAAAAAAACCCTTGCTCTTCAGTCCAAATGAAAAAAAAACAATTGTTTAAGTTGTATTTTTGCAAGTTGCATATGATTAAGTATATGTATATTTATAGGGACTTTATGCATACATAATGATTCCATTTGGACACTCAAGATCTAGTGAAAGATCAGAGTTTTTTTAACACTGAAGATATTTTTATCATGAAGTCAGGCTCCAAGCACCTATATCTAGTTATTTGGTGCTCAGCTGCTAGCTTCTCATTTTTATTCATTACATGTATTTGTTGTGTAATAAAACACACGCAACCATTGTGCTCTAATCAGCACTATCAATCTCTCTGTACCTCCACATGGGGCGGGGCACCCATTCTCATACACACAATCTGTCAACACTCTCCCTCCCTTACGCAATGCATACGCAAACTCACATACACGTGGACAGTGAAAACACACCCATTCCATCTCCCTCTCTCCTCTGTTAATATGTGCCTGGGGGTATAGCTCAGTGGTAGAGCACTTGACTGCAGATCAAGAGGTCCCTGGTTCAAATCCGGGTGCCCCCTCTTTATTGTCACCTAATGGTTGGGGGGTGCGCTTCAAATTTGTGTGGTTGTGTTGATTTCTAGGTAGGACACTGCTGTTATATACCATCTCCTCACACAGTTATGCACACAAGCATGGGGGTATAGCCCAGTGGTACAGCATTTGACTCCAGTTACAGAGGCCCCTGGTGCAAATCCTGTTGCCCCCCCCCCCCCCCCCAGAGCAACACCACAGCTCCAAATTAAGTGTGGTAGGGTTGATTTGTTGGCAGGGCACCAATGTTACACACCTGATCCAGGTACTTTATTGAATTCCTTCAATAAAGCATCCAGCCCTTATGAATGGATAGTGTGTAGAAATTTAGATTCAAACACCAGCCCACTACCAGAGTTTCCACTGATGTAGATTCTAAGTTGCTCTGGAAAAGAGCACATGCTAAATGAAATGTGCAAAATTGTACATGACTTTAGGTAAACATATGCTCTCTGCAGTAGGTTGATAACTACTTGTACCTTAGTACATCTTGTACTCCATGCAGTTTAATGAATTTGTGTATCACAAAAACATATTGCTCATTCCTTTTGAAATGACAAGACCACATACACACAGAGATTGACATCATGTTTATGATCTGAGTGTCAAAACATGGCACTCAGATCATAAATATAGCTTTTGCCTTTGCCAAAACCTTGCAGCCGGAATATGTGTAAAAGTTACAAAGCGCTAGTTTTCTTATTTATGGAAATGACCTCAAACTTTCAGAGACTCATTAATGTCAACAGTGACACCGTAATCCTGCACCTCTAAAAATAACAAACTTTAATCCTCTGGAGAACAACTCCACATTCTCAAGGCACAGGAGCACAAGGGCTCTTCCCACGATTGATCCACGGGTAGGGGTGGGTCTCTCTCTCTCTCTCTCTCTTTCTGTCATTTTCCTTCAGAATGCACCTGCATCCTCATTTCCTACCGATCATTGTGGTCTTTGATTGGTGATGTTGGGAGACAGTTTTGGAGAGCAGCACAGTGTTTGAGAACATGTGTTAGAATTACAAAGGGATGTTGCCGCATCCAACCGGGGCCAAATGGCGCCTCCTGGCACCTCCTGGCACCTCCTGGCGCCTCCAGGGCCAAATGGCGCCTCCTGGCACCTCCTGGCGCCTCCAGGGCCAAATGGCGCCGACGACCTATTACCTGCCGTCTGCAGAACGTGGGGTTCCCCATTACCATATATGAGCCATCACATGCTACTGCATTTCCCTTAAACTGTATCAATGTTGACCACACAATGTAATCTTTGAACGTTTTGCTCCATGCTTGTGTTCCCGCGGCCAGCTGTGTAAGTAAAGCATCTGTCTTCAACTGTGAACATGGAATCTGTCTCTTCATTAACAACATGGTTGTTCTACTCATTTTGAGAATTTTCCTATTTACTAACAGTGACTATACTTCACTGCATGCTAAAGTGGCAGTTTGAAATATGACATATAAAGGTTTTTCTGGGGTTTTTATTGTTGTTTTGTCATAAATACAGACAGGTACAGAACAGTATTTTCCACCCGTTTCTGGTATCTACTGGATGTGAGATAGAGCTGTGTTGCCATCCTGTAATCCAGCAGGGTTTTTAAGTGAGATCATGTAGCTGCTAGCCAATCTGGCATATTCATTTCCCATGATTACTTGGGAGATGCTTGGCAGCTCAGCACAGATGTACGTCTTCACGCTATCTAACGTTCGACAGCGGGGAGACCCAGCATCCGCAGGATGTCCCCTTCAACATGGCTGCAGCGCTGCGGTGTCCCGGAGGCTTGTATTATGTCAGGACGCTGGCGTCAGTGCTGCCACGCGTTCCATATTTTCCGGAGATTTCTCTGGAATGCAATCTTCCAGGACAGCTTCCAAAGGGTCCCTGGGGTTTGATGCCTTTCTGATCCACGGCAGATATTAGTTTGATATGTGTGAAATCATACCCAATCCCGCAAAGCACACCCTTGCCCCCACCACCAGAAAACCAACAGTGCACTCACTTGAGAAATGCACTGGAACCTCTCTCCTTAAATGGCCTGGATTTGGACAAGGGGTGGCAATCCAAGCTGGAGTGCGTGCAGATCTGTGAAATAATGTGGCAGGGCTTGCGTTAGCTGGGGAGCAGCCCTAGTTTTGGGGTACAGGACGGTGGGGGGGGGTCTGTGACAGATGAGGTCATCGCAGCTGGCGTGGCAGAGAGGCGGGTCAGAGCTGGTTAGAGTGCCAGGCCACGTGCGGCCCATAATCCACTCTGTCAGTTCACAGCTGGTCCAACAGCAGACTGTGTGTGAGTGTGGGGGGGGGGGGGGGTCCAGCAGACTGTGTGTGAGTGTGGGGGGGGGGGGGGGATCCAGCAGACTGTGTGTGAGTGTGGGGTGGGGGGGGGCAGACTGTGTGTGAGTGGGGGTGGGGGGGTCCAGCAGACTGTGTGTGAGTGTGGGGGTGGGGGGGGGGATCCAGCAGACTGTGTGTGAGTGTGGGGGGGGGGGGGGGGATCCAGCAGACTGTGTGTGAGTGTGGGGGTGGGGGGGGGGGGGGATCCAGCAGACTGTGTGTGAGTGTGGGGGTGGGGGGGGGGCAGACTGTGTGTGAGTGTGGGGGTGGGGGGGGGTCCAGCAGACTGTGTGTGAGTGTGGGGGTGGGGGGGGGGATCCAGCAGACTGTGTGTGAGTGTGGGGGTGGGGGGGGGGGATCCAGCAGACTGTGTGTGAGTGTGGGGTGGGGGGGGGGGGATCCAGCAGACTGTGTGTGAGTGTGGGGGTGGGGGGGGGGGTCCAGCAGACTGTGTGTGAGTGTGGGGGTGGGGGGGGGGGGGGATCCAGCAGACTGTGTGTGAGTGTGAGGGGGGGGGGGGGGGGTCCAGCAGACTGTGTGTGAGTGTGGGGGGGGGGGGGGGGGGGTCCAGCAGACTGTGTGTGAGTGTGGGGGTGGGGGGGGGGGGGGGATCCAGCTTACTCTAAACATCCTTACGCTGTGCACACTTTATTTCTCATGTTCTATTTCTGTCTCTCTCGCTCAGATACACACTCTCACAGACCAACATACAAATACATATACACACTCACATATACACAGATATAGTGCTGCCTCCCTTACCCCAAAATTATACTCCCAAGCTTGCTCTCTTTCTCTCTCTCTCACACACACACACACACATCATCATCATCATCATCATCACCACTCTCTTGCTCTCATTGTTCAGTTGAACTGTAAGATTATAATGAGAACATTATGAATAAATTATGAAAATTATTATGAGTATTCATAATTTATTACTAAGTCATGAATAACAACACAAAACTCTCTGTTTCTTCTTCTCTCCCCCTCTCTTTCTCTCTCTCTCTCTTAAACTATCCCAATTTTCAGCTCAGCTCAACTATAAATGTGAGAAAGACTGCAATGAAAGAAATAACGTCATACATTAATTACAGCAACAACATAAAATCCTCTCTCTCGATCTGTCTGTGTCTTGCTCTGTTGGGTTGTGGAAGCAAAAGGATGAAAATTAATGTGAAAATGATTCCAGCTTCAGTTTCACAGTTAGTGCAGTCAGCTGTGGCTGTTGATTGGTTTTTCATTGTTCATCTGAGAGGACAAACTTCACCCCAGCCCATATTTAAAGCTGATAACTTAGCTGTATAAGTAACGCCTGCAAATTTTCACAGTAACCTTACCAACAGTTTAGCAACATCACATCTGTACGGTATGCAAGAATGCACATCACAGTACGTTGTTTTAAGAGGAAGTCAGGGCAGGAAACTGACTTTTACACAAACACTATTTCCACTGCAAAACATCATTTTCAAACTTGGATCATGGTGCAACACCATTTTAAAATCAAAAGATGTGAAACGTATCTGAAAAATGTCAGGCCTATGAACACATCTCGACCATCTCAGCCTCATGTTTGTCCTCTCAGGTCAGACAGGACCACCCCCATAGCAATAACAAGAGAGTGGTCAAAGTTTAAAGCCCACGCATACCAAGAATAATGAGTGTTCGCATGAAAGAGCCTCCAACAATATTTATCAGAGAAGAACATCGAAAGCCGTCTGGCAGCCATATTTAGAGGTAAGCGCATGTGCACAAGTGTTGGCTAACTATAAGAACTGTCAATGCATGTGTCACAAGCTGCTGAGATCCTCTTTCACACTGCGCTTAACTGAAAATGGCCTTCAAAACGATGAGCTTGCGGTCTGATTTGATTTTTGTTTTTCAGCAAAATTACAACTTAACCAAATAGATTTTACAACCCTCAAACCCATGCTCCATTCCAAGATGATATTTGTTCAATATGTTTTCATTTGCTGGGGATCATCCATCCAGGGCATTTCTCATCCTTATGGGTCCCCCTTCTGGCGAAAATGTGCCAGTTCACACATTTCCAGGCCAGTATGAAAGAGAGTTTTGAGCCAGTTTGATTTTTCAGCAGAATACATGGCAATAACCAAATATTGAAATTGGTGAACCTCAGGGAAATTACAGTGTAAATGTCTTGTTGTTAAAGTACATTGATATATTGTTAATCAGCTCTGAAAACATGAGTCTCGGCTTTTGGCACTTGAGGTTGCCAAATCTGCTCTGGCAATTAATTATCTCTGGAGTTTCAAAACATCAGCTTGTTATTTTCCCATTCCCACCAATATCTTGACTTTGTTATGCCACTAGGTTCAGAGCTGAAGGGCCAAGAGATGATTTGTACACTTACACTTCCAGTGACAGACTTTTCGTATGCCCTGAGCCAATCAGTGTCAATGAAAATGAATATGCAACAGTGGAATGCTCTGTATTGTTACCATAGAGAATATGGTTACCATAGAGAATCTGCAATGCAAGTCCTGCAGCCAGTCTGGTGCCTAGAACTTTTTTCTGCAGCCGAGCCATTTGCGAAGTCCTTTGGTGTGGGAACTGCAAGGTCCAGCCAGCGCAGAAAAGTGAAAAGAAAAAACGAATAATTACGGCATGTTTTGGAGAATGTGACTGAATGATAATCAGTTCCAGTTCCAGTCTGAACCAGAGGAAGGATCTTGCTGCTGTGGGAATTCAACAACCTTCAGTAATGGGTGAGCATGCCAGATTTTAACAGGAGGGCAAACAGGGGATAAGACAATTGTTAAAATAAATGTTTTTCTAGTAGATGTGTGTGCAGTCAGCAGCCATTTCTTAAGGAAACTGAGAGCT